CTTCCCTTGAGTGTGGGCAACACCTGTGACTTGCTCCTAATCAATAGAACTGGGATTTTATGTCCGTGATAAGGTTATATAGCCTGAGACTTGCATGTTGCACTCTCTTTTTTGCCTTCTCATGAATCAAGTGGTCACACGGAGATTTCCACATAGCAAGAAGGTGAGAGTGGCCTCAAGACAGTAGCTGGCAAGGAAGTGAGGCCCTCAGTCCAGCAGCCCTAAGGAACTGAATCCTTCCAACAGCCGTGTGAGTTTGGAAGCAGGTCATTCCACAGCTGAGCATTTAGAAGAGACCCCAGCCCTTGCCAGCAACTTGATTGCAGTCCTGTGAGACAGCCTGAAGCAGTGGCACACATCAACATGTGCCAAGTCTCCTAACTTACAGAGACTTGTGAGATAATAAATGTGTGTTAAGGCATAAAAGTTGTGGGTGCCATGGTTCACGCCTGTAATCCTAGCACTTTTGGAGGCCAAGGCAAGAGGATTACTTGAGTCAGGAGTTAGAGACCAGCCTGGCCAACATGGCGAAACTCCATCTCTACTTAGAAAATACTGTACAAACCATTAGCTGGGTGTGGTGGCACACGCCTGTAGTCCTAGATACTTGGGAGGCCAAGGCAGGAGAATCGCTTGGACTCAGGAGGTGGAGGTTGCAGTGAGCCAAGATCGCACCACTGCACTTTAACCTAGGCAACAGAGTGAGATTCTGTCTCAAAAAAAGTGTGTTATTGTAAGCTGCGCTAGTTGGGGTTAATCTGTTACACAGCAATAGATAATGAATACACTGCCCTATCTCTAGTCTTTAAGTTAAATGAGGTAATCCATTTCCTATGTACTCAATCCACTTAGAGTTAGGGTTTTCTGTCACTTAACACCCAAGAGCATCTTCCTATGGCATATTTCATCCCACTAGCATCTAAGCTGCTCAAGGACAGGACTTCATGACCTCCCAATGCCTCAGTGGTGTCTGTAACTTTGTAGACTGTATGAATTAAGAACATTCTTGGCCCTGATTTTAGCTCCCTTCTGACATCACAATCTGGCAACAATCAGAATAAGAATGAAACAAAACTCGGAAATGGAGAGGCCTTTGTCTTTGGTTACAAGTCATTTTTATTTAGCCAGCAAGAGTTTATTACTGTTTACAGAGCCCTCTACTTGATACTGGAGGGAAGTGAGAAAATGCTAAAAGGAAGATGTATTCCCTGCTCCCAAGGAGCTTGCACCCACGCTAAGGACAATTGAAGTATGAGAGCCCTACAGTGTCTAGCAATGTGTAACACGTGCAGGTTAATAGGGCGCTTCAGTTAGGAGCAGACAGGCTTCTCGGGCAGATCATGGAGTCAGATGAGCAAATGCAGCTGGTTGTCTGGGCAGGGAGAGAAGTTCCCTGAGAAAGAACTTGGAAACCTCTGCCCCCAGTGATGGGTGGGGCTAACCAAGGAGAAATGGGATGCCAGGACACCAGGCAAGGAGCTTCCCCAGTAACACAGTTTGGGGGCTGCTTAGAAAGCTTTTTGTCTCCTCAGCAACTTAGTACCTTCTCTCTCTGAGTTTGCTCACCCCTTACAGATAAGATGGGTCCATGAGATTACCCCTCCTGAGAATCAGGAATGTGACATGCTGGTTAGTTTCTATGTAGCTGTGATGGAGATATGTATTCTTGGCGTTGCAGGATAGTCTCCCAGCAGAGGAGGGAAAGAGGACCGGGACCTGCAGAGGGGGGATAATGAGGCAGAATCTCAGACAGCCATGCTGAAGGAGGTCTGTATGGTCCCATGGGAGTCACCCCCAGCATGGGTCACCTCCCTTCCAGACCTGGGGGAATCCCTGACCACCCATGGGGATTTACAAGACACATCTACGCCTGTGTCAGATTCACCTTCCTGCCACACACAGTCTCAGAACAGGCAGAGGTAAGAGATCTGGGCAGATGCCAGGCCAGCCCCCATGGGGTTACCTGGTTCTCAGAAGTGCTTCCTTAGCCAGTACAATGTTTAGAAATTGGGGCCAGGCACGGTGGCGTGATGGCTCATGTCTGTAATCCCAGCACTTTGGGAGGCAGGGGTGGGTGGATCACCTGAGGTCGGGAGTTCGAGACCACCTGGCCAACATAATGTAACCCCCTCTCTACTAAAAATACAAAAATTAGCTGGGCATGGTGGCAGGTGCCTGTAATTCCAGCTACTTGGGAGGCTGAGGTAGGAGAATCACTTGAACCCGGGAGGCAGAGTTTGCAGTGAGCTGAGGTGGTGCCACTGTACTCCAGCCTGAGCATCAGAGTAAAACTCCGTCTCAAAAAAAATTTTAAAAAGTTTAGAAATCAGAAACTTTCCTATTAAAAAATCCAGATTATCAGCATGTTTAAAATTGTAAGGGCTTGTGTGCTCAGGCCCTCCTTCCTGTTGCACAGCTGTTGGTGAGAACAGAGAAGAGGCTGTCCCTTTTGCCAGAGCCTAGTTCCCAGCTGATCCCAACCCTACCCCGTCGGTGCAATTTTGTTCCCATCTGGCCCTGAAGACGCTAATTGATTCTGCAATAACAGACCTTGTCTCTGTTTGTCTCTTTTAAAGATTTCTCCAAATCTTTGAAATGGGGGGAATGGACATGTGGAACCTCATTGGAAGCTAGAAGAAGATGGAACCCCGGCAAGATGAGCTGCTTTCTGATAATCTACATTTGCAAAACAAAATATCCCCAACAGCAACCATTTTATTGGTCAGAAATTCAGAGTACAAGGACTTGGGAACGAAAAGAGTACCCAGGAAGAGAGCGGAGGGCAAGCTTAGCCAAGGTGCACCATGGGCCACAACCAAAAGGGGCCGCCCAGATTCCTGGAATCCTGATGGTCTCCTCTATGGTCATCTGTCAGCCACAGGGTCATGGTGGGGCCCTTTCTGGTGTCCACCTGAGGAACTTTGGCTTCTCAGAGCAGGTGAGCCTTGGGGCTAGGCCCATGGAAGCCAGGCTTTGAGAGACTTCTCCTGTGCTTCTCAGCAGTGGCCCAAAAAGCTGAAAGAAACCTTTCAGATCAGCCTGGGAAGGGCTGAGGGACTGTTCTAGGTGCAGTAGTTACATAAGACCACTTCCCTGGGGCCCAGGGAGGCCTGGGAGTGACCCACAGACTTGTTTTAGAAACAACTAAGGAATCAAAATGGGGTCCTGGAGTCAGGGGCCTTCTTGTCCATCTCATTTGTACTCACTGTGTTTATAGATGAGCCTTTGGGGGAAGACTTGTTCAAGGCCACCCAGCCAGGAGGTGCTGGGGTTGGAGTTGAACATGGGTCTGTCCTCAAAGCCCAAGTTTTCAAATAGGGCTTTGAAACCCTTGGAAACGTGTTACAGCCCTGTTGAGGGAGATGGTGGAGAAGATGACTCACTCCCATCCAGGGAGGAAACAGCTTAGCCTCTCTGGAGGAGAGGAAAAATCAGTGGGGGATGGTTATGACCTAACTAGGGGAACCTGTAGGAATCTGGGCAGAGGGGGAGGGGTGTGAGATGGAGCAGTCAGGGTGGCCTCCTGGAGGCTGTACTTTTTCCCCCTTTAAAAAAACTTAACAGCTTTGTTAAGGTATAATTCATATACTGTACAATTCACCCACTTATAGCATACAGTTCAATGGTTTTTACTGTAGCCAGAGTTGTGCAACCATCACTACAATCAATTTTAGAACATTTTCATCACCCCAAAAAGAAACCCCGTAACTCTTAGCAGTCATTCCTCATTTTCTTCTCTTCCCTCAGACTCTGACAGCCACTAGTGTACTTTCTGTCTCTGGACTTGCCTATACTGGACATTTCATATAAGGGGAATGTGCCTTGTGACTAGCTTCTTTCATTGAGCATAATGTTTTTGAGGTTTGTGCACGGTGTAGCATGTGTCAGTATTTCATTCCTTTTCATGGCCTAATAATATTCCACTGTATGGATATACCACATTGTGTTTATCCGTTTCTCAACTGACCACATTAGATTGTTTCCACCTTTTGGCTATTATGAACAATACTACTATGAACACTCATGTGTAAGTTTTTGAGTGAACATATTTTCATTTCTCTTGGCTATATAACTAGGAATGCAATTACTGGGTCATATGCTTAATTTGATGTTTAAATTTTTGAGGAACTGCCAGACTCTTTCCCAAAGTGGCTGCACCATTTTACATCCCATGGGGAAGGCTGAACTATTCATGTATGCTTAGATGTGTATTCTTTTTCTAACTTCTGGCAGGCTGAATTGGTGGAAACCAGGAAAGATGGGGGAGGAGGGTGTGAGGAGAGAGCAGCAGGGCAGAGAAGCCTGGGGATCCTTTCACCAGAGCCCTGGGCTGAGTCCTGGTCTGGTCCCCACTTGCTGTGTGGCCTTGAGCAAATCTCCTCCACTCCATAGCCCTCAGTTTCCTTGTCTCTAAAATGAAGGTATTGGACGTAGACGATTTTGCCCCTGGGGGACACTTATGATGGATAAAGACTGGACTCAGGAGGCATTTTTGAGCACCCAGGCACTTAGAAGAGAGGCTTCCTGGCCCCACCTACGGTTGCCTTTGTGTAAGCTGCCCTGCGTTCTCCAGCTGCAGTAGCTGGCACAGGTGAATTAGATGGATGAACAGTCCACCTTGTTGAGGAGTGATCTCCTTGTTATAGGAAGCATCCAAGAGGGGGCGGCGTGGACATCTGTCAGGAATGTGGAGGAGGCGCCCTGGCTCTGGTCTGAGGCTGCCTTTGAACGATTTCGAGGCTCCCTGGGACAAGGCCTTGGCTCCGTGTGGGACGAACTCCGAACTTCTAGCCAGCTCTTGGCCTCCCCACCTGCCGGCCCGCGGTCGGCGTCTTCCTTCCCCCGCGTCCCCACGCCAAGTGGAAGACTTTTCTCTAAGTTTCTCTCTCCGAAGCCCGGCTGGCCGCCTGCGCTCCAGCCCCAGCCCGCGGAGGCGGCACCCTGAGGTCGGGCGCCCGCGCGGCGCCTCGGCCCCGGCAACCCCCGCCCCCAGGCCCGGCCCCGGGGGCGCGGCCGCCCAGGCTTCCGTGTGCCCCAGGGGGGCTCCGGGCCGCGAGCCTCTGCCGAATGGCTTTTGACAAAAAATCCTTGACCACCAAGGCCAGCCTCTTCCTGAAAGCCCTGCTCGCTCCGATACAGGAAGTAGAAGGGAGCGAGCGCCCTAGAGCGCGGCGGCTGCGGCCCGGGCCCTTCCCGAGGGCCAGCGCCACGAACATGCGGGCGCCCGGGACTCCGCGTTCCGCACCGCCAGGCGCCTGAGCTCCTCCGTTCCCCGTCCCGGAGCTGCCGGCGGCATGATGCGACGCGCCGGGGCGCCCGCGCGCGGGGACCCCACCGGGTAAGTCCGGGCGGCTGCCCCCTCCTCCCTCTCTGTCCCCACAGCCCCGTCCTGGCCTCCCCACTAACTCCATTTCTTGTCCCCGAGAGTCCTCCGGGCGCGGGACCTCGGGGGTGTCGGGCTGAGACGGGATCCTCACCCCGAGGCCAGACCCCGGTTCTGCGGGGCAGGGGGCGGCCCTGGTGACTCCGCTGGACCCGACGACTTGACTAAACTTCTAAGGCCAGGCGTTTCCCTGGGAACCCAGTGCACCCTTAAGCTGCTGGCGGGCGGGTTGCAAGGGAGTGCGCCTCTACCTGTCAGAGCCAGGGCTGTCCGCGTGTACACGGCCCCCTCTCCGGCTCCTGTCCCGCCTGAACTTTGCAAACTAAACGCGCGGTCCCGACCCCGCCAGCCTGCTGCACCCGCCGCTGCGCGAGTCCCAGCGCGCCCTCAAGCTCTGGGGCCCCGCCGGACGTGGGGTCCGAGACCTAGACCCCTGCAGATTTGGGTGCCCGCGGCCCAACAGCTGACCAGCCCTCCTGGAGCGAGTGTCCACTGGGACCTTTTCTCCCGCCCCTCTGTCTTGGCCGTAGACGGCGACCTTCGGACCGGCCTTGGCCGAGCCTGGTGCTTGGCTAGGATCCAGGGCGCACCGGCTGCGCGCGGGCTGTGGGATCCCAGGGGAGAAGGCACAGTGTGGAATGCGTGACGCCGAACGGTTTGGGAACTGACTTGGAGAGGAGTCCCTGGTGACTAAGTCCCCGCTCCGCCTCCGCCGCCTGGTCGCCCCTGGCCCCATCCCGCTAGCTCGGGCATTGCTCGGGGCTGGGCTCTGGGAGAAGGTCCTCTCGCCCCGCCGAGCTCAGAGGGCGCCCTGGGAAGCTTCAGGTGTTGTGGAGACGCCAGGTCGGAGGCGGATTCCCAGGGAAAGCCTATCAGAACCTTTCTGAGTGCCCAGGAGCGCATCTGGGGAGGCCATTCCCAGCTTTTTGGTTTAAAAGTCCCGGGCCTACTTCCCTGACGGACGCCCTGCCGCTCCCTGGCCTGGGGTGGGACCTCATCTCCCAGGCCATCAGTTCTCTGCTCTGTGAAACGGGAGAGTTGGGCCGATCTTGTGCAGTCCTGAGCTGGCGGGCCGCTGGAGGTGACTGACTCCCACTCAGCTGGGAGGGTCTGGGAGGGGGCCTTAAGCTCATCTACATCTGAACATCTCCGTTCTTCTCCCTCCCTCTTGCCAGCCCGGAAATTTTGCATGCTGGTTTCTTTCTCTTGAAAGCAACCTCTGCAAAGACAAATGCCATGCGGTGGGAGGAACTGAGAATTCCTTGGGGAAGAGCCCCCCATCCCCACGCCCACTTGCAAGTATCTGCTACACCCAAGACTGCAGGGTGGAGCCAGAGAGGAGTTTCTCAGGGAGGAAGGGGAGGTGAGGGGCCAGGGCCCTGACCTTGCCAACTTCTCATTTTCCCCAGGGATAACCTTGGCTGGCCACTTCCTCTTGCCTTTCTTGGTTCATTACTGGGTCAGTTATTTAAACTCTCTGTATGTCAGCTCACTTATCAATAAAATGATGATAAATAATAGTAACTACCCCTTAGAGTTGCTTTGAGGACTAAATGCACAGAAAGAGTTGAACACATTCACCTGCAGAGTAAACCCTTAATCATAATTGTCACCATTATTATCATTTGTTGGGTATGATTCCTCCATTTGTCAACTGCGTAACCTTAGACAAGTGACCCAGCCCCTGCTTCCCCTGTAAAATGGGGGTACTAGCCATACACACCACATAGAATTGTTTGGTGGATTGGCTGAGTTCAAAGCTAAGCAGCGGCCCCCAGGCAGCTTAGGGGAAATGCATCAGTTCAGGCCTGCTTAGAACTGTGCTCGGTACATTCTAGAGCTATGTGAATATTGGTTTGTTGCTAAAAAACATGGCTTTGTTTTAGAGGACCTTTTGGGTTGGAAGGGCTCCAAAGGGTAGAGGATTTCCTGATGGATTGGAGGGAGTGAAGAGTGGAGGGTGACTCTGGTGGCGCTCTGTCTGCCCAGGGATCAGTACTTCAGGGACAGATGCCCAGCTGTACAGAGTCTGGGGAGAATGGATTCTTAGAGTCCACTCAGGCCAGTAGCTTTCAGGGGGTGGGGAGAGACCTGGTGGGCACCCCCATGTGACCCCACCATGGTGAGTAAACCAGTAACATTTTAACAGCTTTGTTAAAGCTATGCTAAAGGTCTGCTTAAGATTTCATTTGAAAAAGGATTCCACTCTTGGAAAAATGTGGCCATTACTGACCTAATCGATCCCCTAATTTAACAATGAGGAACCAGAGACCCAGAAAGGGGAACTGCCTTCCCCAGTATTGTGGGAGGCGAAGGTGGAACTCAGGTCTCCTGAGCGTTGGGTCTGATCTAATACAAGAGTCCTGCTGGAGTCTTGGAGAGGAGCCCTTTAACCACTCCAGGGTGAGATAGGGGGCTTTTCTGGATGGGGCCCACCCAGAGCAGGGCCAGTGATGGATTCAGGGTGTGAGCTCGAAGCTCCAGCTCTGCCCCTTGACCTGGGCTTCCTGGATTCAAGGAGCTAATGTTCCCCGGAGGTCCTGGCTGGCACTTAGCTAGGGACCTAGCCCTTTACAGATCCTAACAGAGGCCCTGGTGCACAGGCAGCAAAGGATCACCTCACCAGCTCAAGCCTGCACTCCTGGGCCCCCCAAGAGGCCCCAGTACATCCTCTGAGAAGCAGCTGGGAGTGCAAGGGGCTGGGGGTGCAGGGTCCTCTTGGGATGAAGGAGTCACAGCACATTTCCCCCTGAGGCCCTCCTCATCTCCTCTGCCCCCTTGGTGCCTCTCTGTCCTAGTCCTGGGTCCCTGATCCATGATTTTCACTGAAGCAGCAAGTGTGAAAAGCTTAAAATGCCACAAGGCACCCACATTTTAATCCAGGAGATCCAGAAATCAAAACTGGAGACCAGGAATTGGTCTCAGCTGGAAGCAGAGAGACAGGCATGATATTTGAAGGAGGACACCCAGACCCCTCACCATCCCCTTAGGCCTCCCTGGAGCTCCATTTTGAAAACAGGAGTCTGAGGTGGTCTGGGTGCCTCCCAGACCCTGGCCAGAGCAGAGGCAGGGGAAGAATGGGTGACAGATGGCCACAAAGTCTGCCTCTGTGGACTGCCCCCCACCCCCGCCCCGGAAGATTCCACATGTCATGGTAAGACATGGCAAGCTGTGTCATCTACGCGGTGATGAGTCAGCACAGTTGGGTGGGCAGCAAGGAAGAAGGGAGGCTGCTCGGAGGAGTGGGGGTGCCTGAGCAAAGGCTTGGGAGGTGAGAAAGTGTGGCGGAGGGGCTTGTGGGGCGGAGTGCACCCTTCTAAACCCAGAAATACGTGACACGCTTTGCATTACTAGTGACTGCTATCAGATAACTGGTTCAGAAAACGGAAGATGAATTTCAGCTGGGGAGAGATTGACAGGAAGGGCAAAAGTATAAAGATGGCTGCCCACAGAACCCCGCCCTTGGGGCCTGGGTCATCTAGGGGATTGGGGGGAAATCTATGTGTTCAGAAACAGCCTTAACGTGGGGGAAATGACCCCCAAGGCCCCTTAACTTCCTGTTGGCCCCCAGCGATCTGACCTCTTTAGGGAGCAACCTTTAGAAGGGAGTGGGGGGCCATGAGTTATCATCTTGTTCCTGGGTAGTTGGTTGGCGCTGCTCTGATGGCCAACTCCAGAATGTCCTGTTGACACAACTATTGCCCTGACTCAGCATTTATTCTGAGAACTAGGAAGTTGAACTTCTCCTCACCCCCGAAAGTGTCTGAAACATGGATGTTTTCTCCCAAGATTGGAGCTAACGATGAAAATCACAACTTTAATGACTTTTCCAAACTATGGATCTCCCTAACGAGTCCTTCTGATGGTTTAGTTCTTGCTAATCGAGCTAGAGGGACCCTCAGGCTGGGCAGGGAAAGTGATGTGTCCCCCACAGCCCCCTAATTGCCCTCAGGTGACATACTGTCCTATTGAAAAGGTCCCTCGAGAAAGCCCTGTCCTCCGTACTCCAGCCCAGCCCTGCTTGAAGCCATGCACGGCTTCACTTTTTCTGTCCTCTCCGACGTGCAGAACTTGTCTGTGGTCTCGTGCCTTTGCCCATGAGGTTCCTTCTGCCCTTTTTACAGGGCTCACCTCCTCCATGAAGTCTTCCATCTGTGCCAGCTCACAGGGATTCCTTTTTGAATGTTCATAGCATGTTTTCACATGAACTGCTTGTTTGCCTAGCCATTTGAAAGAAGCCAAAACCTCTTTAATATCATGTCTTCCTACTTCACTTACAAACTACTGAAGAAAGGGGTCAGATCTTTTAGTTCCATATCCCTGTGTCCTGCACACACTTGGCACTCAGTAAGTGCTTAAGGCCAATGATACATGGATTGAAGGCTGCACAGTCTTTTCTTTTGTGTCCCTGGAACCCCTGAATTTCTGGAGGTGTTTACAAGGTGGCCCAGAACACAGGGTGGGGCTTAGTAGGGAGAGGCCCGGGGCTCGCGGGCAAGGAGCCCACCTCCATTCTGCAGTAGCTGGTGACCCCCACCACAGGCTACACAGCCCTCTCTAAGTTTGGAAAGAGGAGGCCACCCAGGCAATTGAGTAGGGGCCCTGCTTGGCCCCGCCCCTAATTTTATCCTCCCCAGCTGTGCTCCTGATACTTGCCAGGGAGAAAGGGTGGGGGAAGGATAGGCCAGCTCTGGATCATGAAGAGATACTGTGTCTCCAGCCGGGAGAATGAGAATAGCTGCGTGTACAGACTTGGGTGAGTCCTGGGGCGTCAGTGGGTCCCAAATGCAGGTCTCTGGACCACTGAGAAACTAGGAAATTAAGGGTGGTATGTGCGTGTGTGTGTGTGTGTGTGTGTGCATCAGCCAAGGCTGCCATTGTGTCTTTTCCCAGGCAGAAATGTCCTTTGCTGATTTGGAAGTGGCACAGGGACTTGCATGTTGAAGGTCATCAGT